ACGATCAATCGCTCTTTGTGTGGGTCTAATATACGTCGACACTTACCGTTCCTGGCGCGTAAGCTCTCCCGTCAAAACAAACGTTCCTCGAAAATATGCTTCACGTAAATTAATAATAACTTCGTGCTTTCTGTTATTATTTTTCAACTAAAGGCGTTTGATTTAGAGGGACATCAGCACTGAGCAAGAAATAATCCCTTGCACCACACAAGCCTGAGGTAAACAAACACACCGAAAGCTCAACACATCACATTTAGCTCTTAGGCCCAAAATTATATTATAATAGGGATTTGAACTCGTGATCTGAGGTCGCAAGTCTGACGTCAAAACTAATGGGCTGTCTCAGACTCGGATATTCACTTTTAGTTAAGCTAAAACGATTAGCATCCTTCCGTCGTAATTCATATGCCGTCAACAGTCTCCTTATATAGACCGACAGGGGCAAATATTGCGGCAAAATCACGAAAATGTTTTCCATTTGCTTGAGAGATACTTTCGAGTATAACATATCCATATATTTAACGTGTAAGTTAATATATTAATCAGTCCAACACACAAATCTTCAAATGTTAAGAGACTCTGTTGGCGTAGCGCTGTGTGAAAAATAAACATCATGAAGCCCAAGGCTTAGTGCATTTGCTAAAGTTATCTCTCGCCGCACCTTGAAAGTTAAAAGTCAACATTCGTATTATGTCTTCGAGTGTCCCTCCGTCGCTAACGATGGCGGTGTTGGTACAAGAAATTTCAACATGGGCGCTTAGCACATATTTTTATTTCGTACAAAATCAAAAATGGATTGTACATTCACGTATACAAAAAAGGTTGGGATGGAGATGAGGGTTCTACCTGGATAAAAACTGTTGTATAACAATTTAAAAACTCGGGCTGCTAAAACGTTGAAAGCTTTAAAACAACGGGCATACTTTTAGCGTCGGTTCCAATTAAGCCACCGTACGATATACGCAATGGCTATGTACCTAAATCTACGTCACTCGCGCACCGGTGGCGCGACCGTCTCTTGCATTGGGAGAGCTCATTGTTTATATCGGGCGATGTATTTTTTTGGGGCACTGTTGTTGACGCTCAAGTGGCAATAAATTATAAACTTAACCTTGGTCACGTTTGTTTTGGTTAACCGTTTAGTTGCTAGACCCATGTGTGCATCGTGAGAACCACTGCGTTTTAAATTGTGGTGGTTAGTGAGGACATTGAAGGTCCTCGAGTGTTTATTTTTAATCCGTTATTACACTTAACTTGCCCGCTTACGCGCGCTTAGAATAAAGTATGTGAAATATTTCGGCCATGTGTAAATATTATGGAATGTCTTCGAGATGAGATTTGATTTATTTTTAGTTGATACACAAAAAGATGTGTAGGCTTTTACTGTGTAATATTATAGGTCGATATATATTCAATTTCCGTGAGGCAACTGCGAACACATTAACAGATATATAACCAAAATATTAAACCCTCATTGGACGGAGCTCCGTACTAAATGTAAACATGTCATGAAATGTACGCGCGATCGCGCGAATTATTTATTTAAACCGAAATCAATTCGATATACATTCATTTACTCAGATAATTCCGGCATTGTTTTCAAATTTAGATTAGATTACCGATCCGAGTAATTAAGTTCCATTCGACCGTAATATTTGAAATAACGAGCAGCAACTCTAATAGCTGTTTAAGCTGGAAATTGACATCAGCTATTGTCATTTATCTAATTCAATATATCAGCTGTATGTTGTGAACTTCCCTTAGAGGTATTAAATAATTGATCATTTGTTATCTCTACAGAAATATCTCATGTCAGATGCAGCGTATCAAAGCAAATTTATTGAATTCCTTCTAGTCTCGCTTATATTTATAACACGTGCTTATTTTATCTTATCTCGCAGCTACTGCAACGTCCCATCATAAAATGTGACATCATCTTATGTTTTTATTATATATGCATGGGACGTCTTGATAGTCTTAGGCAGCTCTTTAAGAGTCTGCTCTTAGAAATAATCCATTATTTCTTTTTTAGTTTTGACTAACATGATATCTACAAAATCTATACCAAATTAATGTTCTGCGTAATTAACGTTAAGTGACATTATTTCAGTTAGTTCGTTTTGCTTTAGTTATTAGTGCAAATACTTTAAATAACAAAAGGGAGCTGTTTAAAAGCATTCTTCTACTTTGGAACAATTAAAGTTCTAATTATTTAACCCTCGTTATGTTTCAAATTAAGCGGGAAAGTTTAAGTGTAAGAAATTTATTCACAGTACGTATTTATTTTTTCAGTATTAGGGAGATAACTGGAAATTATTATAAAAGAAAATTTATATATCGTTTGTGCATTATGTTAGCTCCAATTACATTTTACAGGCAATCATAAAATGATAAATATTTAGTTTTGAAATAATAATAATAATACATTTTATTTTATATTTAACAGTGGTAGCGCCAAGCTACAGTCTTCGCTGTTGCACGGGTGGGAAGGTCCGTCCGGGTAAGTACTAGGTTCTTGCAGAAGACCGGCGTGAAGTGAAAGTACTTTTTTTATGGAGAAAAGGGGCCAACGAGCAGGAGGCTCACCTGATGGTAAGTGATCACCGCCGCCCATGAACACCTGCAACACCCGAGGGCTCACAAATGCGTTGCCGTAAAATGCTTCTGCGTTTCCGCTAGTGAATGAGGTAGGCGGCCTACTTTATTACAAGGTAGGTTGCCTACCTTGTAATAAAGTAGGCCGCCTCTGCTACCCTAACGGTGTTGCAAACGTCCATGGGCGGTGATTTTCAATTAACATCAGGTGGTCTACCAGCTTGCTTGCCAAATTCTCACATAAAATAAAAAATACAAAAGATGGGCCTGACTGTAGTATAACATTGTCCTGTGTTGTAGGGGCGTTTTAAAGACATAAATTTCACGTTCATAAACATCCAGATCCAACAAACAATTATCTGTTGGTGTCACAAATAGGTGTTCCGTGTCGGTATCGAACGCACGACCCATGTCAACGAAGCTCACACCTCGGCAATTACGCCACGGAGTCTTCAAATGTTATGTTTCGATCCCATTCAACGTCAACAAGCAACGAACGAAATTTGTTTCAGCTTTCTTTTTATTCAAATTTAACTCGCTCCGCATCCAACTGGCCAGCGAACGTTTTATTGCGATGTAAAAGAAAAAGCGACAAGGTTTAATTTTTGTTTCCTACGATTTCTACCCACCCGGTCGGGAAAAGCGATCCTCGCTTCGTACGTAGGTGAAATATATAATACGTAACAAAATTGAAGCGTATTATTTTATTAGCTCTCGTATGAGAACGGGATAACCCACTCAGCTGTGACGGAAGTTTATATTGAGAGTAGTTGAAATGGAATTATTAGAGCTAGTCAAGTTTGTCCGGGACGGACGCCTCTATAGAGATATTTTATTTTCAATGGAATATATTCATTGAAGCGACTTTTGCTATACGTATTTGATAATTATTGACAAGCGCCCGTACTGAACACATTAGGTGTTTTATTCTGCGGACAAGAAGGTCGGCATTCCCTTGCGTGTCCAGAAGTCAGAGTTACGCCTTTCATTTGGATACAAGTTACAAGTATTGGTTTTCAATTATGCATATTGTTTGTTGTTAAGGCAATAAGGAAACGTCAATTCTAATATTATCTTTGACATCGCATTACTGTGGTTTATTTTTTTAATTAAAGTAACCAAAGGTTCTTCATATCGTATTATACACATTATACTAGACAAAAGAGTGTAATGTTCTACCACGCACCTCAACATTAATCACTTTGTATATAGCATTTTTGAATATCAATTGAAAACAGTAAATTCAATTGTACAAGTAAATAATGCTAGCCGCAATTGTTGAGTAACCCAATGATTTCAATGCATTGGGTTCTCGTTAACTGATCCTGACATAAAAGCAAATGAATATATTACTTATAATTGAATTTTACGCTTATTTGAAACTAAACTAGATAATAAATAGATATTATTTAATGAATTAAAATGTCTCAATTTAACAGATATGTTATAAATTAAAATGAAATTAATGATTATAATTCTACAAAACGTATTTTATTACTCTTACTCAAGGAAGCCATCTCGATATTATTGATATACAAATACAAATATAAAAAAATTACTTAATTTCCAAAAAAACATTATAACATAACATAAACTTGACTATTAAATTAAATGAGAACATGCGCAGTTACATTCAAAATTTGAAGTTGTTAAGAATGGCACCTTTTTAAGTTAGTTTAGGATAATCCGTTGATTTTCAGAAATCTGTATTATTTAAACAGTATATTTTTATGTTAGAAAGTGGCAAACGAACTAGCGGTTCACCTGTAGTTAAGTGATAGCCGGCCATGAACATTTGCAACACCCGTGGAGATGAAAATGCGGTGCCACCTTTAAATAAAGTGAGCCCCGCCTACCTCACTCACCAGACGAAACCCAGAAGCGTAACACTTCTTTACGCCGGTCTTCTGTGAGGTCGTGGTACTAACCAGGACAGACCTGTCCATTCGTGCAACAGTGAACACTGATGCGCGGCCCTACCACAGGGAAAAGTATATAGATACTAGCTGACCCGGCAAACGTTGTCTTGCCGTATAAATTATTTCTAAGGATAATTTGTAGGGTAGAAAAAAATATTTTGGGTGGACCATGCTTAACATTTAGAGGGATGAAAAATAGATGTTGTCCGATTCTCCACCCTGGCCGATATGCACACAAAATTTCACGAAAATCGGTCGAGCCGTTTCGGAGGAGTTCAATTACGAACACCGTGACACGAGAATTTTATATATTAGATTACAGCGACAATAAATGCAGCTACGTGTATGTTAACTAAAATGTTAATTTCTTTCTCTTCTTTACAGACGCAGCTGAGAAACAAAAATGATCATCGACCTCCACAAGTCTGTTTGGAGCTAGATCGTTTCCGAAACATGTGGCAATAGACTAAAGATAAAAAAGGCAAAATGGACACATTGGCCGTGGTGACTTCGCTCCTAGGCCTTATTTGCCTGGGTAAGTATTACTTTACATAAAGACAACGCAAAATTTGTTATCCACAAGCAAACTGTTAAAAAATATGTTTTAACAAGTAACGTTTCGGTTATTCTTTTATGCGTAAACAAGATGTAAACCCTGGGCAATAAAATATTTTTTTATTTGTAATGTATTAAAAAAGTTATAATTTAAATATAATTATATATAATATATTTAAATTAAAATGTATTTAAAATATTTAATGTATTTAAAAAAATAATAAAAAATACAAAAAACAACTCACTAATATGAACTCACTGCTGCACCGTTACCAGCCTGGTTGATGTACGCGGGGGTGACAGCCCAAAAGGAAAATTAAAAAAAAAACATGTTAATCAAAAAAAAGTACGGACCACGAGTCTGTAGAGTTAGTTCGTTAAAATAAAAAAAAAAATAAAAAAAACCCTAGGCAATAAAGATATGTCTTGCAGTATTCGTCTCATCGATATGCTTTTACGTAAAAATCGTGACGGCAAGGAAAAAATAATAGCGTATAATAAAATACATATTTTATGACATACTTTTACAAAACTTTCTAGCCTCAAACTAAGCATAGCATATACTAGGTGTTCGTACTCACACCCTCTGGCGAAAGCAAAATGTGCACTATTCACTGTTACAATCGGGTCGTCAACGGAAAAGTGCTGATGCACCGAATTTTAATGTTATGTTTTCGTACTTATAAAGTGATGGTCAAATCCCGGAAATTAGTTAATATTCAAGACGCCATTCCAAACGTTTACGTATCGCAAGAATTACAAATACCCCGGGAAGTCAAGGTTCAACCAGAGCTAATAGCCCGGTGCGCACCCTTCATTGGGGGTGCATTCCCCCACACTATTCGATATTTAGTGCCTCGCCGTACCATCTTAAATATGCCACAGCTCCACTTAACGTATTCCAAAATGTCTCCTTCAATTGCCCTTATTTATCACACGCGCGGTTAAATAAATCAAATGCCAAACTGTTTTGTCACTTCCATATACCCAATATTAGCACTTGGTAGTCTAGTTCTTGGCGGCACATCTCCCAATCTTAGCAAAAATCATTAAAACATATTAGGGTGCAGTAAACAACACTCCAATTTTGATCCTAGAGTCTTAACTTGTACAAGTTTACTTATTCGACTTGTTACTACTATTACTAGTCTTTTACTGCTTAAGAATGTCAACCAAAATATTTAAATTGGTATCAGTACAAATGAAGTTAATCAATAAATTAAACGACTGCAAAGACTTTCCGTTAGCCTTAAATCGATACTCATTCCCTTGGGCCAAATAACGTATCAATAGGAACAGTAACTTACTGACAAAGCTCATTAGATTAACAAAACACACATGGTTTAGCGGCGCATCTGTCTATTGCACATATTTCACAATCAACAGAGTTCACAGTCGATCACGAACATCCCCGCTTTGAAGATCCAATTCCCCCAGTATACGATGTCGCAGTCACGCATTATTTTAAACCACGTGGAACAGTGTATAGGAGTGTCAGTTAATAAAAAAGACCGCCACCCCGGGCTATCAAAGCGTAAAGAAGTTAGGCTAATGTTAAACGACGCCTATCTTTTGTGTCTAATGCGTGATGGATGCTGCGTAAAATGCGGTGAAAAAAAGAATGTAATATAAAGAGGAATAATAAAAATAAACAGAGTCAATCGCTCCGGGTACTTACAATAGGCGGCATATTGAACGTCATTGTATTCAAGTTTGAAAAATGGTTCCTATCTCACTGATCTAACTGCAAACAAAACTACGACCATTATGAATATCGACACGTGGCCGGACGAAGTAAGCTGGCCACGAGAGTCGTTTTAAAATCACGATTTGAATATTTGAGTTTTGAAAAAACGAAAGGCTTTATAACTACAGCGCCTTGAAGGGAATTATTATTATGGGTCAAAAATAAAGATACCATTTATATTGTATAAATGGTATCGTTGCTCTCTTTAATTCCTTTCATTTACTCGAACACTGCACATTATCAATGAAACTTTTTTTTATTGTTATTACCGATATTTCAAATACTTTGTTGCAAATATGGTTAACTTTAACCATGACATTCGGAAGGTTAACAAGTCAACAGGTTAACGTCTGTTCCGTGACAACCAATACTGACTTCTTCAATTAGAGTACTATTCATAATAATCCCATTAATTGCTTTACTTAATTCTTCAACACGGTTGGTACAGCTGCTTAGCGATAGACTCCGGTGAGACGGGTCTTGGGTTTGATTCACACCCGTAATAAGTGTTTATACGACCTAGAGAACTATTCTGGATTTGGGTGTTTGACTTGTTTAATTTATTTGCAAAAAGCTTCTATAACACAGGGTTAACGTTGTAAAAAAGAGGACATAATAAAACTTAATAAACTTCATTATATGTACATTTTATCAATGACACAACAGTTGAATATTAAAACATGAAGAAAAAAGAGCTTGACATTGATTCTAATACTAATCATTGGTATTATATCATTTTTGCGAACTTCCAAACGTCTACTGATTCCAATCTCTAATGTTTTCGAGTAAAGATGTCAGCCGTTGAAAATGTTATCATTCGGGCCATCGCAAAAAAAAAATATTCCGCCATCAGACTAAAAGCGCTTTGATCAGATAGCTTTTAGTTTGCAAACTATACCCTTTTATCTGTCCGTCGATAAATCTTAATAAGATTGGTCGTTGTCGGTTAGCGAAGTGAATGAATGTTTTTTTTTTTTTGTGTGTGTTATGTTTTATACAAATACTACTTTGTGCGTTGTCGCAATTTAGTTATAAAAGGTAAGTTTATTCGTAATTTTGGGGATAAAAGAAATAAATTAGTCAGCAACAATATAAACCTAAAAAATCGTACAAAATTGCAGTAGAATTCTGTGTGTTCAGAAAATCAACGTATCTGAGTTCTTATTTCAAATAATTTTGAACCGAACTTGTTGTTTGCTACAAAAGCTTCATGGCAAAACTTTCGCCATAAATCACTTAGCTAGCTACCTATAACATGCGAAACTAGAGAACTAGAGATACACCATCGTTCGAACTTTATTTATGCAAACAAAAATAGCACACGTCAGAGCGCGGGCCTCGTGGCCGTATCATGCCATGTTGTTACAACTGCCCGTCTCTATAAAAACAAACCTACACAAAGAAATGTTGCAACTGTCGCCGACGCATTTCCGCAAACTGCACCGGTGAAGTGTCACTAACTTCACTAACGGAACGCTGTCAAATAAAACTGAAATATACTGCTAATACGAAATATACGGTATACAGTAAACAATCGAATCTTAACGAAGGCGAATCTTAGAGATAAGGCAAGTGATCTGGCAACACTCTTATTTCTGCGTCAGATGTTGCCTGTGGCTTACCTTGTTTGGATTTTGATTTAACAAACATAGTCATAGTGACCTAAAGCTGAAGAATCTATATTGTAGTATTTGAATCCTTAGCGTCCTCATCAGTCCACAGCGTCCAACAGTTTTCACAATGTATATACATGTAAAAAAATCACATGTAATATTGACAAAAATACAAGCAACACTAAAGGTCTACAAAAAATCCAATTCTTTCCGGTTTTTAAACTATCTGTAAAGATACGAGATAGATGAGTCCGTAACTCAGCACGAAAAACTGACACACGCTCATTTATAACATTAGTAGCTGTTGTAGTTGTAGCTGTAAGACTTACCAAGTACTACTTACCAAGTACTGTAAGCTTACCAAAATCCGCATTGCACGCAACCCAGTCGGAGCCCATGAAAAGTCAGCCCACCGGTTCTGCGTCAGATGAAGCTTTAATAGTCTCGGGACTGAAAGCAAAAACATCAGTTAATACAAGATACAAGAAGCCCGTGAAAACTGATAAAGGGCCGACAATTTGTCGTCCGCATTAGGAAGACGCCTTATAAGGCAAACATTATAACGCACGAAATTCAAATTAACCTAATCTCTCCATCCGTTGCAGTTGGAGGCGGCTAATTCTTAACACGTGTGTGACATGGGTGTTTCATTTTTTGCATCGTAAAATCTTAAGTGCCCTTTCATTAACCGTGACAGACCGTGACCTTTTCTGACGATTTACAGAAAACATTAAGATTTTAAAACAACGTTCAGCAATGTTACTTTAGGGCAAGAGATATTATACTTTTTATCAGGCAACACATGTATTTAGTTATTTTTTAAAGGAGGACCAGACCAGAATACACTTAAAAAAGCTTTATTTGAAAATACCTATTTTTATATGCAAAAAATCATTTATAGAATATAAAACCTTTTGACGGACAGCCTTTTATTTATTTGATCACATGTATTTATATACATCGGCTTTGGTAATGAACAAACACAAAGTCCCAAAATGCCTTGTATACAAAACCAATGTACTCGTAATTATGGGATAGCATCAGATTGCAAGGGGTCCCGAAAACGAACACATGTTCAAAGCTCGAAAAATCATGATTGGCTCCCCGAGGATGCAATTATAATTTTTTTTCAACTCTCAAGAATTAGAATCTTTCCCTCAAATTGCTAATATGGCACAATGGGTGACGAGTGTGGGCCGAAAATATCTTTAACGAATGTCTCTGAAAAGTGCGGATTCACTTTAACACACCAGGATAAATTGATCAAAGAGCTTCCACTTATCGGCTACTCTTTTGATGCTATAGGTCTGTATAGTGATATATTAAACGAGACCGAATTTGGTGCTCTCTGTATCAAAGGGAGAAGTCGTTGAGCACGAATGTAAAACATAATTCTCACGTTGAGGTTAATCATTAGATTTTTTTCAAAAGATTTCGTAAAAAGCTTTGTCAAAAGTGAAACTAGAAAATACTTTGAACATCTAACTTCAAACGGATTAATCCTGCGAACGGCGTGTCCGTCGAAATAAATGTGAAAATCGTGTCTCTCTATGCTATATTTTATTTATTTTTTCTAGCGGCGCGTGTCAACATGTGCAAGAAGTATAAATTAGCAGGGGGACATGACGTACCCTCGCGAACTTTTTTTTTCAACAAAGACTTTGAACAATAGGACCTAACTATTCGTGTGTGAGTTAAAAATCACTCCCTTCGGCGTTTCGACTCTGCCACATTATAGTTATGTTTTGTTAGAAAACTTATTCAAAATTAAACGGCCAAATGAAAAGGTACTTTCATTAAGTGCGTGTTATTTTATATATTTCGCATGACTTATCTTTATGTGTAAAATTTTATGTTCATAATATTAATTATCAGCAGTTATATTAAGTATCAGAGTTTTCAAACAAAAATAAATATTTTTAAAAGAAAACTTTGGATTACAATAAAAGCGCGATCTTTCTCAATGGATATTTCCGCTAGCTAAAATCCAATAATCAATTGGTTTCAAACTCGCGACTATGCAATAAAGTGAGTTTTATGCGCGATAAAGTCACGTATCGCGATCAACATAAACAATATTTTATGTACCCTACAATCTGCTAAATCTTACTTTTATCTCCTTTCGGAACGTTTTCCTATTCCATAGCGGTTACGCGTCTCTTTATGAGAACATTGTTTTTAATTTATCATCCATTACTTGTATATTTATAATAAATTACACCGTTGACCGTATTTCGAGTTTGTTAGGAGTCATTTGTATTGTTTATGCTATGTATAAAAATAAAAGTATATACGAGTAACATCAAACGGAGATTCAATTAGGGATTTGGCCTAGAGATACCGTATGCACTCTGTTGGGAGACGCGAGTACGTAAACACAATTATTTTGCACAAAAGAGTAATCGCTAATGATTCTGAACATCAATGCGAATTTAGAATATCGAGTCTCAGACCATTGCGAGCGGTTAATATATTTTGTTATAATCGGACCTTTTTTGCGAGAATGGATTTTCGACGCCCTAATAATAGCTTAAGGCACAACAATGAACATACATCAATTCGAGTGTCAAACTTACATCTGCGCATTTCTCTACAAACATTGTAGAATAGTCGAGGGGTTCCTATATCAGAACTTTTTGAGCAACTCTATGCTTACTACACGTCAATAATAAATGTACCCCTTTAAAGCAATCACTAATGACATATTTCGCCATTATCATAATTAAACGTAGGAACTTTTATTGAAGTGTAACAATTAAATATCGTAATCATACCAAACGGCTACAATTGTCAACAACAATTGCAACAACAACATTGTTTACAACACCAACAAATTACAAGTGAATAAAACTTCTATAAAAGAAAATAAATATATATCATTTTATACAATAGTTTTTGTACAAAAGAAATAATCAAGTGTTTACTTGTATTACATAAATATAGTTGATAATGTCTTTTTCTGAATAAGTGGTTAAACATAAACTGAAGGAGACTTCTTTCATGAGTTCTTCTGTAAAGAAAAAAAAAAAAAAAAAAAAGAACTGTTTAGTAAAAGTTGACTGTCTATCAACTTGTTTTTTTCCTATTATCAGTTTGTGCATTAGTATAAATTTTACCATACTGGGCTTTATTTAAGACAATAGGACCTAATCCACGAGACAACTCTCCGCGTTCTTATTCTCAGCTTTTGTCATAGGTCCCGCTGAAGGTGGCATCAATGATGATTACGTGGGAAACGGCGAAGCGCCATACATCATCGAGCAGCCCCTAGATGTCACTGTGGCTAGACATCAGCCCGCCACGCTGAACTGCAGAGCGGGCGGTTCGCCGGCTCCAACGGTCAGATGGTACAAAAGTGGAACGCTTGTGGTTTCCGACACCCACCGTAGCCTGCTGCCAGCGGGTGATTTATTTTTTCTGCGGGCCACGCATGGCAGGGCTCATTCCGACGCTGGGGTCTACTGGTGCGAAGCCACAAATCCATACGGAACTGCCAGAAGTAGAAACGCTACTCTGCACGTTGCTGGTAACTTATTCGTCATTTTATTTAATTTTGTTCTACATTTTACCGGGGGCCAATCACGTGGTACCTTTTGAAAATTGTTAAGTGTTGAGAAATAATTTCTTGACTAAGCGAATTCTCCGCGTGATAGGGTTCGTAACGAAGACATCCGCAGTAGAACAAAGATAACCGACATGGCTCAGAAGATTAGTGGGCTTAAGTGGGCCGGCCATAGAGCTCGTAAAACCGATAAACGTTGGGAAAGAAAGGTTCTCGAGTGGCAGCCTCGTACTGACCTTCGCAGTGTGGAATGACCCCCCCCCCATTAGATGGAGTGATGACCTGTGCAATTGTGCGAGTATTCGATGGATGCAGGTGGTTCAGAATCGTGCTTCGTGGTAATATGTGGGGAAGGCCTATGTTCAGTAGTGAATTCTAACTGGCGGAAATTATGACTATTATATTATGATGATGATGAGGGATGATAAGTATTGTAGCTAGTAAGTTGAGAGATAATAAGTACGTTACACGTAGCAGGCAGCTTAGAGAAAGTGTTTTGTTCGAAATTTCATTTGTCTTTTAGGATGGTTCCGCATGAAAAGGGAGCAATAGTTACATTCGTTTTTACAGTTATAGCAGTTCATAATAATTTTATTAGCACATAATATTTGTTTAATTTTCGCTTGTGCAGTGCTACGTGAAGAGTTTCGACTTGAGCCGGTTACAACACAAACAGCTCAAGGAGAAACCGTGATATTAGAATGTTCCCCGCCACGTGGTTCTCCGGAACCTTCCGTATACTGGAAAAAGAATGGACAAATACTTCATTTTGACGGTGACTCAAGGTGAGATTTTAGTTTCTTTTACCTATGTAAAGAAAAAAGAATGACAATTTAAATAAAAATAACATTAGTACTTATCTCCAACTTGTTCTACGTAATTTAACTATTAATCGATGTAATGTTATTAATAATAGTAATAATTTTAATATTAAAAAAATGCCTTAAAAGTTAAAGTAAGAAATTATTACACTTTTTCCTTTTTTACTTTGTTTGTTTTGCACAAACCCACCAATGAATCAAAAAACTTCAAATGAGTCACATTTCCAGATTTAATGTTTTATTAATTAGTTATATGTTTCGCATTTAGATCAAATTTCATCGAATAGATGTCTTGTATAGGGAAAGAAAATAATTAACAGTTGTAGGAAGTAATAAGAGAAGGGGATATTTGAAGAGCTCAACAAGCAATCAAGTAAAATCTGAATAGTTCTGACTCATCGGACCCCTTATTGAATGTTAATTTCCTTTTGAATTATTCCGCCCTATATTTGAATAACTGTAGTTACTTTGTACTTCATACGTTGTAATGAGTTTTTTACGATTTCTACGTATTGAGATGGTCTACATTTTGAGTCGATATTTCAGAATGCATTTGGTAGATGGAGGAAGTCTTGTTATTCAAGATGCTAGACAAACTGATACCGGTAGATATCAGTGTATAGCGCGTAATGCAGCTGGCACTAGGGAATCTACAATTGCTACGTTAAAAATACACAGTGAGTTTTTAATTCTTACGTATAAACTAACTTTAACAGAAATTTTAAGAATATCATTTTAATATAAATATTATATGGGATAGTAAATTATTTAGTGCTTATTTTTTTGTTGTTTCGTTTTTTTTAAATTTATATTTGTATTTGTAGTTAAACCATATTTGATTGCTGGACCTGAAGATATAGTCACCCAGACTGGTGGCAGCGTAACATTCCAATGCCGAGTGGGTGGAGATCCCCTTCCTGATGTTCTGTGGCGACGAACAGCAGGCGGTGGAAATATGCCACTCGGTCGTGTAAAGGTCTTAGATGATAGAAGTCTCCGACTCGATAATGTAGTCCTCGGAGATGAAGGAGAATATACCTGTGAAGCTGATAATTCAGTAGGAGCCGTAAGCGCCAGTGGTTACTTAACAGTTTATGGTAATTTTTTTAACAAGGTTTTAAATATATGTGTATAATACTTAAAACATAAAACAGGTGTAGTATTAAATTTATTGTTTTATTTTAGATCCTCCCTCAATTAACATGAAGCCAAATAATGTAATTATTGAAAGTGGTGCAGTAGCAACTTTTACATGTACATCTTTCGGAAAACCAGAACCAACAATATTCTGGAGTCTAGAAGGCAACCGAACAATTATTCTCCCAGGCATGTCAAGAAACAAATATCATGCGTCTTCTGTTATAAACGGTGTTTCAGTGCTTACAATAAACGATTCTAAGAAAAATGACAGTGGAAGTACCATAGTTTGCTCAGCGGTAAACTTCGCTGGCAGCTCTTTTGCACGAGCAAAACTAACCATAACATCAGATGACGATAGACCCCCACCAATAATAAAATTTGGTCCCTCTAATCAAACATTACCATTAAAATCGATGGCAGATTTCCCCTGTGTAGCTATCGGTAATCCTAAGCCCGTAATTGCTTGGTATTTTGAAGGAGAAGCATTAATAAGAAACTATCGAACGAATGTTTCTAACGACGGCACTCTAATTTTAAGAGATTTAGACAAAAGTGACAGCGGGACGTACACTTGTGTAGCTTCTTCTCCTCAAGGCAAATACGTTTGGAGTGGTGTTTTAACAGTGGATACTCCAACAAATCCTAACATAAATTTCTTTAGAGCAGCAGATAGTTCTGCACTTCCAGGACCGCCCACGAAACCCCAAATATTTAACATAACTGACACCAGCGTGACACTTATATGGAATCAAAATAATAAGATTGGTTCATCATCAATACTAGGATATCAAATAGAGGTGTTTTCCAGAGAAACTCTTTCGGGTAACAATACACCCAGAAACTCCCGTGGCTGGGTTACCGTCGCTAAAAGAATACATCATACCCAATATGTTGTTAAGTCTCTTATACCCGGCATTACATATATGTTTATCATTAGAGCAGAAAATTCACATGGATTATCAGGGCCAAGTCCTATATCGGATTCAGTGACAGTTGGAGAAGATAATTTATGGTCTAGTGGAATTTTTTCCAATAGCACTGAAGTCAGAAATAATATAATGACAGACAACATAGTTGAGTTAATAGAAGCAACACCAATTGATTCTAAGACAATAAAACTTATGTGGGAAGTTTTAAACTTTTTCTATCTTGAAGGCCTTTTTATATATTTTCGTCCATTAGATAACCAAACATCCGAATATCATATGAAAACTATTTTACATTCAAACGATGTTTCCGGATATGAAATCACGTCTTTAAAGAAATATACTAAATATGAATTTTTCCTGATACCATTTTATAAAAAATTTGAAGGGAAACCATCAAACTCAAGAGCTGCGCAAACTTTAGACGACGGTAATTGAAATCACTGATTTTTTTATATCTTAGTACTTCTTTATAAGATCCTTATATTTAATTTGTATGTTACAGTACCCGATGGACCTCCAACAAACATTGAATTACTGATATTTAACTCTACAACGGTACATTTGAAATGGTTTCCTCCAGAGGCTCACCTACAGAACGGTGTAATTATTGGTTATAATGTCGTTGTTAATTGGCTAGATATCCCTGCTAATAAATCAATGGTAGCTATAAACACGACAGTTCAACAAGCAACGAGCTTAATAATGACAAACTTAACGACAGGAGTGAGTTATTCGGTTCAAATTGCAGCCGAAACTTTGGTCGGTTTAGGCCCGTTTAGTCAAAAAGTATATTTCAATACGGATTCCCGGTCGATTGGCTTAGATCCAGTATCCAGGTAAATATAATACTTATGTGAGAAATAATTATTCTAAGTTATGTGGTTATTGTAAATGTCATTTTTATTAAATGTATTTTTTTTTTTCAGATATCCATCAAACGGAGAAGTATCTATTGTTGCAGGAGATTTTGTGCTCGAATCATGGTTTTATTTCCTCATTGGAGCTATAATATTATTTAAAGTGATTATGATTGGTGGTATTATATATGTGCGAAAACACAACATATTCGCAAAAAAGTCTGCACTGCCAAATATATACGGTATACATTTATTAAATTCTTTTTAGCTCCAGGCTTTAAAATAATAAATGTTTCGTAGCTTATCTCCATATTTTATGTTTTTATGCAGAATCAGAATCAGAATTTCAAAATTAAAAACATTCCTCGGGTGTTAAGGGGTGGAACGGGGTGTTGAGCATTTGTTTGATGGAGGCTTTGCCATGCGACGGGGAGTGAGGGGTGCTAGATTACTTTCGAGTTGAAAGGTAGCACGAGCCCTCTCTCGTGAGCGTAGTAGATCTCTTTCACTTTAAATTCACGTTTGGGGCACAAAGGAATGATATAAATCCAAAAAAATAAAGACGAAATAAATATAAATGTTTTGTTTCAGTTTCACCGGCGTATTGTCTCTGAATTTCGTCACTTAATGTTAATGCCACGTTTCTTTCTTATAAATATTGTTTTTGCCAATATCCTTTGCCATTTACCATGAAATATAAGCGATATATAGGCATGATTGGTTATTTATATTTAGTATATATTTTTTAGATTCCAATGGTACGAGCTTAGTCACTCAAATGAATATTAAAGCTGCAGTGTCACTTTCACATCCGCTGACTAGTTGCTATAACAAAAATACTGTTACAAAAACAGAATCACTCCTCTGGATGGAAAATCAACCTGGTTTGTGTTTGTCTGGAGCACATACCAACCAAAGCAAGGACAAAACAAACTCGGAATATGACAAAGTAGCTCATCCATTACCCGAATATGCGGAAGTATCATCTTCGAGAGTAAATGGAAATGAGTGGAATACAACTAAAACTGTCAACAGTCCTGCAGCCTATGCTTCAGTTACTCTAGTTGCTAATACTAGGCAATGTGTTAGCTCTCTGGTAAATAAAATAAATTACACAAATTTTATTTACTTTACTGACTTTAAATATAAGGCATGTAAAATTTTGTTTGTATTTTTGTTCGGCAGGGTTGGTTTCCTCCAGGAAATAAAAATATAGAAAGTTTCGATAACTCCTATATGCCTGATGAAGAGCTTTATCCGGCCAGCAATGGGGGTTATTACAATCGAAACGTATATAGTGAGAAATACTTTCAGGGCCACCCGAATGTTTTGAAATTTCACGACTTACCGGCTCTAGATAAAACACAAAAAGCTCAAATAAGATATAACCAGAGCTTAGAAGACAGGAAAGTCGATAAAAATATAATAAAAACAGACGTTACTCAATCGTTAATAGGTCGAACGGGTAGCGTTAATTCAAGAAATAACTCTGAATCTGAAACAACTTATAGAGCCTTCGGCGAAGAAGAGTCTGACGAAGATAATTACGCCGAAGAGCTCGTTTATGACGATTTACATCAGAGGCAGAGGGCTAAACATCAATATGAACGGCCTAATTTTGACAACGATGGTACCCGAACACTGGCCCGTTTGACGTCATTCAGGCACGGTCAGACAGCATTAAGTGGAGCGTCCCAGGCGTCCCTTGCACCAACCCACCCACCCCCGGCACCGCATCCGCGTGTTGATTCAGTGACGCGGTAGTATCACGCCTTGCCGGTTTTCGGCGACTTGTGCCAAACGGACGTTTAGACTGACTTGTTTCGCATCAGTGAACTTCATTAGTGATGTCATAGGAGATCGCAGTTCTTCCTTACACTGTAAAGATCTTTTGGATGTTGTAAAAATGTTGTTTCGGATTATTTTAACGCGATTGGACTCTAGATGATTTTCTATCTACGATACGTATAACTAGATCTTGGCCTACTAAAATATTATTATGCTTACTTTGAGAATATTTAAGAATCTTTTGAATTTTATTTAATGATTTAATTATGTATGATACAACTAGTCTTTTGTATGATATTAAGTTGTAAATAATGTATATACAACAATATTGGTATATTTAAAACTAAACTTAATTCTAAGAATATTTAATAGAATAATTTAAATTGTAATCATTATTTGTAACAATTACTACTGGGATTGAATGAAATCGATTGTATCTCCGTCTCAATATCGATAAACGAATTTGTAACCCTTATATCATTAGTGTAAGTATTTAGAAACTGAAAAAAAAAAAAAAAAACGCTTGGCAATAATTGAATGTAACTTACAGTCCACTGTAAATAATAATTAGTGAAAGTAAAATGTATTATTAACAGGAACATGATTTATATTTAAGAACAAGATTAAAACGCTGAAATTTTCATCACCATGTTAATAAACTAGATTAAACGTATGTTATTTGTGACACTTGAGTAGATATGGATACACGAGTTTGAATCTATTAAAATATATAAGATAACAGAATGGTAACTTCGTTGTTGGTAGATCGAATAGACTGTTAGACCATTTAGATTAAATCGAAATTAGAACTTAACTACGACAAGTTTGTGATGTTTGGGTTTTTAGTTTTATTTCAAGTGCCATAAGACTTAATTCCTATTGTAAAAACTAATGAGATTCGTGTTGTGAAATGAAATTGAAATGATGCTTTTACATATGAGATTTTTTATCTACGTAAGTTAATGTGATATGAGTTAAAAGTATAACCACTTGTTATCATGACGACATAGCACGACTTGTATCATTGCATATCATCTATTGTAAGTTAAAAATTAAACAATGTTAATTAATTATGACGCTTCTGTCACTGTATCAATACTATTTTTAATGTAAATATGTAAAATGCATTCGGCAGCTTTTTTCTACTTCGATTTCGCATCGCAATTGTTACAAATGTGTATTCAAAAACTCAAAGTATCTTTTAAAACATTTTCTATGACATTTCTATAAAAAAATTTTGCTTTTATTAGGAAAAAATCTTTTTAATTTATTTCAAATAGAATGTTCAGTTTAAACAATAATAATTCGTTTTGAAATTTAATCAATATCTTCATACTTTTAGAACGTAATCGAACTCAGTACTGTATTGATGAAGCACTCTGAAAGCAATATTTTAAGTTACCTCGTGATGCGTAATATTATCAAAAGCTTAACATTAAATTGATCTTTTATTTTAAATTTACTTTTGATATTGTTAATTTCTGTATTTTATATTGATGATATTATAATATATTTTTAAATAGACACATCATGGAAACAATTAACACAAAATACTTAATGGACATTAATTTTCTATCGGTCTTGAAAACCTATTTTTAATAAAATAATTAAAATAACTCAGTCAAACAGTGTTTTATTTCACTAAAACCCACAGGTTTCGCAGTTATAAATAAACGTTAAGAATAGTATTTTTAAGCTTAACATATATATGAAAATGCAACAAAATATAAAACAGTCGTCAACTGTTTTTTTGCATAAAGTAACTATTAACTGACGTGATTCTGAAAATTAATTTCCTCGCCTTAAGAAAACAATACAATAATATAATAAGCCAAACAATATTCCATTTTAATAGATACACATCGTATGACCTTAATAAAAACCCCACATTTTCTATTGCACTCAGACGTTATTAACACCTATTAGTCAAGAAACACATTGCATTCCCTTTCGAAATAAATCCGATTCACAGGCAAGCGATTTATGAACGAAATCTACACCCTGCACTCGCCGTAAGTACATTATTGGCGGGTATTTAACAACGCTCCGCCGTCCACTCGCGCGTCTGTAATTGACTGATAACAACTTGCTGAGCTCACATGCATACATACAGATTTGAATAGGATATCCTTGTCATTGTCCCGTTTCCACTCTGTGGCCTCCGATTTCCATAGTGGATACGTCACTCGCAAATTGAACACGTGTGATAAACACTTGCCGTCCTCTTTTTACTTATTGCATTAATTACGTCTCTTTTATACTATTCTATCGAAATGTGTGAATGTGTGCTGTCACTCTGTTTGGGAATAGGAACACTTGACCTGTGATTTTGTATGCGTATAACATATCTGTAGTACATAATATCATTTCTCCTACTTCTGGAACTTCTAAAAAAATCTATCGAGATGGCCGCACCCGTAGCAATGTTCAGTCTGAAAAACGACGCCGGTTCCGTGGGACCGATAAACTCTGCAGCACGGTAAACGTATGAAAATACGCAAGGGCTCCCTCCACTCACTCGTTCCAGTTTTTGCATATTTTTTCAATGGAACGCGTACAGCCGGGAGCGCAGAGCACTCGGCTCGCCTCGGGTATCGTTTTAATTTTCCGCCGCTCAGAAATTTACACAATCCGAATGCACCATCACTTTTAATGAGCTAAAGTTGATTGATGAACGCACTCGCTAGTGGGGTCATAACGTAAGATCCTTTTCTCTAGATATAGTTTTAATTAAAGTACACAATAAGGGGCCAGGATTGTCAAACAAAAATCATTTATTTTTCTTACTGTATTAAAAGTCAAAACTCCACTTTATAGTCGAGTTTAGTATGCAACCAGCAAGATAACGATCGTCTTGTCATTGCTGGTTTGCTATCTTACTTTAAGTGACATGATTCCATTTAAATTAAATAAAGCGAGATCAAAGCTTTGAAATATATATAAATAAGGCGAAAAACACGTAAGTGGTTTACCTGTGATATCACATTTCTATTTCCATCTTCAACTCCAAAGTACTTGTTAAAAAATCGGTTCTATGTCAATATTATGATTGACATAGAACCGAATTTTATATGCGTAGGTAAAACAGAAAACAAATTAAAAATAAAATAATTTGATAATAAAGAAATATATGTTTTTTATTATCTACATTCCTAGTGTTGTATTGGCTTTTTTGGTAATTCGGCAAGTTGAATACGAACTTCGATATCGTCATATTATGTTATAACTAACTAAAGAAATCATCTCAAGACCATGAAATATATAACGTGTCACTTAATATGGAACCCTTGTATGTCAACTTTCGTTTGAAACGGGGCCTCATCGCATCCACTCACGAGCAATGATGGATATAATTCAATTAGCAATTAATTGCTTGATTAAGTTGCGCATTCAATCGGAGGGGTTGTTTTTGTTTTATTACGGGAAATATGATTTCGACGGAGCGATGGGCCTCAACGAAACCAATTTTGCTAATGGAAAATACTTGTTATGACTATGTAGTTTAAGTTTTTCAATTAGGGCTGAATTGTTCAGACACTTCCAGGAGTTGTAGGAGTGTCAATTATTGTGTTGCAAAATAATTTCGCAAGTGTTTGAAAAAAAGATAAATAAAACTAAAACGATACCTAAAATGTCATTTATTACTATTAATTAATGTGAAATGATTTACTATCGACTTTTATACTGATAATCTTGTTGCTTGCTACTTTTATTAGTATTGCGAAAAATAATATTACTAATACAGATCAAAGCTATACTTATCTAGATGTCGTGTCAATGTGATAGCTCAATAATTTTAACTTATATGTTAATTACATTACACGCCTCAAAAATAACGGGTCGTAGAAAAGTGTCTCTATCTCGTGAAAAATGTAAATGGATAATTACTATCTCAAACTATCATAAAAGAGGAAAGAATTCAGCGGAGTACTGCTAGAATATTATAGGAGTATCTTCATCCACGGTCCAATAATAAACCAGCGACTTCAAGAGCCCTGCAAGACCAAAAAATGGCCAAGGTCCGCATCATACGAGAGGACCGATAAGTCGTGAGCACTATGTTAATAGTGAATGCTAAAGACAAATCGAAAATGTAATCTCACAGCTTAAACAGGTGAAATAGGTTTCAAGTAATTTCTCACAACAATTTAAGCTTTGAAACGACTCCACGAAGACTTGGCGAAGCTGATTTAAACCTTAGAGACCACTAATAGCCCCAAATTTCTCCGAGAACGTCGAGGTGAGAGTTACGCTTTGCCGGAGAGCATGTCCATTGGACGGATGAAGATTGTTCCTGGGTTATGTTTTCCGATAAGTCCAATTTTTGTTTATTTGCAAACTATGCGAGACAAAGAGCTTCAAGACGATCGGGTGAACGGTATCAACAAAATTGTTTTGACGAAAAGGAGCCATTGTAGTTAGAGTGCGTGGGCTGGAATATTCTCAGAGTCGTTTCGGACTTGGTGGTTATAAAATCTTGTGGCTGACGGCTCTCAAATACGTAAGGAAGATTTTAAATGAGCATATTGGTGTGTTCCCTGACAATATGCTTGATAATTCAATTTCCATTACGATAATGTGCGGCGGAAATTTGTTCAATGTATATATTAAAAATGTCCAGATTTAAATCTAAGCTGTCATGTTTATGTTTTGTTGGTACAAGTTGGTAAGTTTTGTTTATTCAAAACCTTTATGTATTTATATTTTACATAAACGTACCTATATTGTTATATATTTTGCATTTATGGGTCATCTACTTCTCATCTTAATTTAATCAATCTTTTAAACAGTATCAACCAGAAAAATCTTTAATTATGTTATGATGTACAAAATATTTAGAAAGTAAAAGTCGCTGCAATTTACTGTGCCCTTAAAGCTAAAGTACCCTTAATACTGTGCTTAAGAGGGCGTGGGTATGTGGAGATATTCTGAGGCTTTTTGAAATCAACACTTGAAGACTTTTAATTTCGCCC